TTACTAACAATGCCACTGTTGGTCGCCGCTGTGCAGCGCCCTGTAATTTGAGCTAGGGTTGTCGTGTCTTGCTCAAGGACACACTCCAGTGACCACCCATCTGATCCCCGTGTCACCGACACTTGCTTGACATTGCTTGAGTCAAAACTCACTACTCACGTAGCCACTGGAGCCCGCAGTGCCAAAAGACACTTCTCAAAGCGGGCATCTGCAGGTTAACTCTCTGCAGAAAACCTGCCGCACTACGGCCGCACACTTACTTGTCAGAGGGCTAGATAAATTAAATGTGACTTCTTCTTTTTCTTCTTCTTCTTCTTCTTCTTCTTCTTCTTCTTCTTCTTCTTCTTCTTCTTCTTCTTCTTCTTCTTCTTCTTCTTCTTCTTCTTCAACTATAACGTACAGTTTGGACAAAAGAAGCCTGACGCGATGATTTGTTTCTCTCTCAGCCCTGGTCGGCCCTGACAGACAAGGTCAAACTCAAAGCCCACCTACAAAATGATCTAAACTGAGTTGACATCTCTATTTCTTTTACTGCTATCAGGCAAGTACGTTGGCCATACGTGTCATTATGCATTAACAGTTGCTTGAATGAAAAGGTTGTTCAGAAAAGTCACCAAAGAGGGCGGTTGGCGTGTGCTCTGGTATGCTTTGTTCTTTCTTTCCTATCAAACATCTATTGTCTTTATGTTTCTTCCTTTTTGTTTTTGCTACTCTCTTATAACACATCTAATCTTCAGCACTTAAACTAAATAATCTAATCTAATTGTGCAGCAAGTGACGTTAAACTCTTACTAAAACATTAAACAAAGTCACATAAGCATTTCTTTTCTGGAAAATAGAAAGTCACTACATATAAACCTCTAGAACGTTATCTTTCTCATTACCTTAACGCTCTAACAAATTTTTAATATTTATTATATTATCAGATTTTGATCTTAAAATTAGAGGCTAAGAAACTATGGCCATACACTAATTGTCAAAGAAAAGAAATTAAATCTTCAGCAGAGAAAGATCTACATCTATAACAAACGACAGTGGGCTTTTTCAGCGTGACTCACAAATTTCTGAATCGGTGTTCATTATACTATACAGCTTACCAATAACAAAGGCAGAAGAAAATATCCCGGTGGTAGCAGCTCCGACAAAAAAGTTGAGGATGGCGAAGGCAAGGAATGACGGGGCAAACGCCAGCCCCGTTCCCAGGAGCAGTAGGAGGGTCAATGACAAGAAAAGACAACGCTTCCGTCCAATTCTGTAATGAGAAGAATTTGTTTGACACACCCACCTAGCCTGTGATGCAAGCC